CCTCTTGTTCTCCCTTACATATGCAAACTATCCACCCCAGGGCAGGTGTAGCTCTCACACCCATAATCAATCAAACTCTAAAGCCTGCCCCATGGGCACATGAGGCTTTGGGGGGACACCCAGCCACAAACTAGAACAGGTTTATATCAGCTCACAGTTTGTAGAGGTTTCAGACTATACTCAGCTGTCTCCAAGGCAGGGCAGCATGGCAGAGGGGCACTCTAGAGAAGAAACAGTCTATGGCAGGGAAGGCAGGAAGAAGTAGCAGCAACAGCAAGGCTGCCTTTTGTCTCTCCCTTCAGGCTCCAACTCTATTGACTGGTCCTGCCACGCCCAGGGTTGAGCTTCCGTTATCTACACCCAGAACTATGCTAAACCCATTTAGTTATCACACACCTTTAATCGCATTGTCTCAAACCCTAGTTTGAGACTAGGGTTTGAGATCTAGCCACCTCCAAAAAGCCCCACCTATGACCACATGAGGCTTTAGGGGTACATCTAGATACAAGCCATAATACCAGACTAACACAATACTAATATTAAAATATGTTTGCTATCCCAGTACACAGGAGACTGAGGCAGGAGTATCACTGTGAGTATGAGCCCAGTCTGGGCTACATAGTGAGTTCAAGGCCAGCATAAACTAAATAAAGAAAAATGATTCAAGAGACTTCTGTCAAAGACTTACACTTTCCCCAAACTCAGATATATGATTAAGCACAACATCTGAATGCACAGCATGCACATCACTCTTTGCTAGAAGCCAGAGGTTCCTGCTTTTGTGAAACTTAGAATCCTAAGATAAAGCACATGAACATTAGTCAGTGGAAAAAATATGAGAATGACTAACATAAACTACTATAAGTGCTACAGAAGTTAAGGGAAAAATGAGGTTCTCTAATTCAGAACAAGCAAAGGGGGCAGGAGGGTAGTCTCCTCAATTAAGAAACACAGTGTGGAAGCTGAGTATGGTGCTGTGCACCTATAATCCAAGCACCCAGGAGGCTGAGGCAGAAGGATTGTGAGTTTGAGACTAGTCTTGTCAATTTAGCAAGTTTGAGGCCAGCCTGCAAAACAGCAAGACCCTGTCTCCAAAAATATCAATTAAAAGAAGGAATGAGAGACAGGAGGAGGAGAAAGGAGGGAGGGAGGGAAGAAAGGAAGGAAAAAAGAAAGAAAAGAAAAAATCCTGAAATATGAGTAATTACCAAGTTGATGATATTTATTTCCATTTTCTTCAGATAAATAAGCTTTGCACATGGGTCATGTGCCATTCAAATATTAAACCCTTCATTTAAATTATCCTTCATTTTTATTTTTACTACTGTATATTTTTACATATAAAAATTATGTGAAGGGATTCCACCCTCAATCTTACTTTTTTTTATTTTAAAAATAAAAGGAGGAAAACATTAACAGACAGACAACATTTTACAAAATAGCAAAGGAACAGTACAGACAGTACGGAGTTACAAACAAAGTGGTAGGGAATTAACAATGCTTGTTGTATTACATATTGATATCTTCAAAGTGATTTCTCATGAAAACAG